AAGAGGGGGGTGGGCCTGAGATCAAGAATTTATACATCTGTCCTTAACACTGACCTTACAACTACCCAGAGGAGCTTTCTTTTCAAAGATGGTGTTCATGGCCACACACAGCCTAAACTACACAGAGTTTATTCGACTACATGGACTGCAGAGGTATTTGATTTGGATACATCGGAGTACTCTTCATGGCCACACACAGCCCCTTTTCACATCCCAAAAAAATGATGGCCGCTACAGAAGTGTCCTGGAAGAGGCTCAGACGATAAGGGTCTATAATGAGAATCAGAAGCCATGTGGCTCCGTTCCTCATGACTAGAGCCCCTAGCGCACGCAATAGCGTGCGTAGCCGTCTGGTAATAGAAAAGAGACCAGAGGCTAAAAAGATCCGGGTTCCCCATCTGAAAAACCTTTTACCACTAGATACAATTAGTGAACGGTAGTATGTGCTGGTATATCCTTACACATACTTGGACGTTGTTGAAGGGTACTCTGAATCCGTTTATGACCTACGCAGTGGCTTATGGTTACCAGGCGATATACATGATAGTGTTTTTATCCTCCCACACAGGGGTGGTGGCAAACAAGCGTCCCCGGAAGGATGAAAAGCTTGGTTTGCCCGGGCAGATACCAATATGAGATTCAATCTCGCACCGAGCGTGATAGTGCGCCACTTGGCCATACACCATCTACGTTCTCGGTTGCTTAAGGGAGAAAATTTCAAGTGAAGAGTTCCGTGTCTCACTTTGCTTTTGTGCTCCTTGTTTGGCGAAGTTACAAGTATTCAAAACCACTTTTGTAGAAATTTTTATTGGATATATGAAATTAAATCGTATTTAACTAATGTTTGCAGCTTGCATTCATTTCTTTCCAATACATACAGGGCAAGATCATTCACGTTTCTGGGGTGATGATGGAACACTCGATCCGTCTCTACTTTGAGCTCGCTTTGGATCATAAAAGTAGTTATCGAGATCCATTTCATTGTAGGTTTGATCCGAAATATATCTTTGGCGTACAGCGTATTCGAGAACAGCAAGGTGGAGAAATAGGTATTGTTCAGGTTTCTGGAATAGTTTAGATTTACTTGGGAGATCCTCGTTCTACGAAGGAGTGCTTTTCCATTAGGGCTAAGAACAATCGGTTGAACTTCATCGTATTCGATTCATGGTAACAAAAACATGGACCGAGTTAGCTAACGGGTCCTTTGAGACATCCTCATAGGCGCTGCTGTACTGGACGATGCCGTGTTTACCCTCGTTTCAGCTTCTAGCATTTCTGGGACGTCTTTTGCAGTGCAAGCATCTCAAATCGCTTTCTTCAGCATCTCAGTATCATCTTCAGAAGTTTTGCTTGCCAAGGGATCTGTCTCAATGATCCTCTTACATGTCCAAAATGACAACTAAGTTGGATGAAATGGCTCGGGACAAGAGTTGACTTTGCCAAATGTTTGTTGGAATGATGTATAGGAGACTGAGAAGGAGATTTGTGGCCCCCTAGGCCCAAAAAGGGCTGAGAAACGGCAGAAAGAAGATCTAAAAGTCGCGTCTTCTTAAAAGAACGCGCCCACCTATGTGGGCGGATGTGTCGTTGTACCTAGGAGAGGCTGCTTATATTGCGATTATCTTCCTTATTCCCTTTTTTCGTTGATTATTCAATTAGGTAACGTAGTAGTTTTCAAGGTCACGCACATGAGCGTAAACTCGTCCAAAGACCCTTTTTCACTGACATATCCTTGCCGTGAACTGCCAAGTGTCCTCTTCTTGAGAAAGACTCATTATAAGGGCTTTTCCAACTGTTTTTCTGCACTCTTCCGGATTTGTGCGCTATTCAGCATCTCCACCTCCATTTTTACTTGAAGGCACAATTCACGATAATTTTTATGTACCCTTTCTGGGTAGAAAAGTGTAAGTGTTGATGTAGAGGGGTACATAGGTGACGAAGAAAGCGAGAGAAGCCGCCTTTTCAGAAGGCTTTTCAAAGTAGCGGAAGGGGAGCTTGTACGAGATCACCGCGACGGTAATGGCATGGAAGGGGTGTTTGGACGAGATTTAACTTGCTCCCATTGCTCAAAGAGATGACTACATCAAGCCGAAATAGTCCGGAACTGCGTTTCACTTTCGCCATGGGTTATGACAAGCCGTTTGAATTTCCTATATGGAAGTCTCTCGAGATAGTGCAGCCTCTACAAAGCCAAAGCGTTCACGAGGGTTGTGGCATTCACACGATACAATCTCTTGCCCCTTATCGTTCCCTAAACAGGACGTTTTTCGACCTTATAACGGCAGGTATGGTATAAGGGGAAGCCTCGAGTTCATACTATAGGGAAATCTCAGAAACCATTTTTATCGTGAATTTTTCCTTTAAATGGTGCACAACACTTCTCCTGGATGTGCCTTTGAATATGTAACTCACCACTTATGTGGATTCGTTCCCTTTCGGCCCCCTATAAACACTCATGAGATCTAGGCAGAACTCGTTCGGTAATTTCGCTCTACAGTAACTGGTCGCGGAAATATTAGGTCGTGAAGAAAGTTCTTGCGGTTTTACGCCTCAAACTTCAAATGCATATATCTCGGCTTGAACGAAACTTCATCAATCGAAATAACAACCATTACTATCGACACACTTTTGTTAACGAAAAACAAGTTCGAGTATCCATTCGCATAGAAGTCCGGAAATCTAGAGGCGATGAAATCGTCGAATGCCGCGGCAGCATCATGTTGGGTTTTGAAGCATTTCTCCTTGAGAAAGCGTCGAGACGTTTAGAGAAATGGTAGTCTATGGGAGCAAGGTCTGGGAAATATGGTGGATGCGGGAGAGCTTCATAGCTAGCTCCATCAATTTTCTCAGGGTAAGTTGTGCGACGTGAGGCCGAGCGTTGTCGTGGAGTAGAATTGGCCCCCTCCTATTCACCAGTGCCGGGCTCATGAGCTGGACTTTTCGATGCATTTCGTCAATTTCTTGACAGAACTTTTCGGCTGTCACGGTTTCTCCCGGATCCATGAAGCTGTGGTGGATCAGCCCGACTGCAGACCACCAAACAGCACCATGACCTTCTTTCCATGCTGCTTCGGCTTGGGAAAATGTCGTGGGGCTTGATCCTTGTACAGCCACTGGCCTGATCGTCGCCGGTTGTCGTACAGAATCCTTTTCTCATCACACGTCACAATACGGTCTAGAAATGGATTGTTCCTGTTGCGCAGAAGCAAGGCGGAGGCGAGCTCGTAGCGGCGGTCTTTCTGGTGCTGAGTCAACTCATGCGGCACCCACTTATCGAGCTTCTTCTACTTCCCGATCTCCTGCATGTAGATGCCAACCGTCCAGCTGGAAACACTCAATCTTGAGCCAATATCCTTCAGCGTTGTACGTGGATTCTCTTCCACTAACGCTCTGAATTGTTCGTTGCCAACGGCCGATGGCCGCCCACTGCGCTCATCATCTTCCAGGCTCTCATCACCGGTACGAAATTTTTCAAACCACCACTGTGCTGTGCGTTGATTCATCGTACCTAGATCTAAGTCATCGTTGATATCCCGGTCCGTTTCCATCGCTCTCCTGCCCAACTTGGATTGGAAAAGAAAAATCATGCGGATCTGTCGTTTGTCCATGCTGATTTCGACCTTCTAAAAAACCCTAGGAACCACTCCAGGGCAAAACCGATTATATATTTGGATAGAGCATGAAATGCGCTCCAGAATGGTGTAAAACATGCAAGAAATCTAATAGCAAATAACATCGCGGCGAGCATTTGAAAATTGGGCGTCAAAAACCGCAAGAACTTTCTTCACGACCTAATAAATACCACAATAACGGTAATAACTGCCTATGTAATACTTGTTCAAAACCATTATTACTTACCTGAACTGCCATAGCTCTTTGAGTTCGGAGTCGTTGCACTACATCATCCACATCAAGCATTGCACCGCATGGTCTAGTTGCTGTATCGTCTAGCTTTTTGAAAGAAATGTCCAGAGCAGCAATCGTAGCACTCCTTGAAGTACCAGCGAGGCAGTGTAGGACGATGGGACTCCTGGAAATCAGTGGTCGACGCATAGATTACTGCAAATAAAACAACCCCTGGCTTACTTCTCATTTTGTTTCAACACTTGTGCAGCCACGGCTTCTTTAGTGAGGAGATCGCGATTGTAATTGAAATCGCTGATGAAGTTTAGTATTTCTGTCGGTTTTTTGGGAGTTGCTCTGTGTCCCCAAGCGAAAAAACAGAAATGGAGCAAACGCCGTTCGGATCCTTCACACGTCGCCTGTAAATCGCTTATATAAGGAAGTGATATGTAGATGGGAGTTAGGGGATAGGTCGTCTTGGGCAGATACCGTCGGCGTGCCTAACCATAAATCTTCGTAGCAGTAGTATGCATGCAACCCCCCCCCCGTTACTTTGAAAGCACTGCTTTTTTTGAAGCATATATTCGTCGTGAGTGCAGAGGACCAGAATGTGATACTCTGCAGGGGCTTGAATATGGCAAAGGCTGTGAAAGGCTTGAATATGGCAAAACTCTCGTAGGGGTCTGACCCATTTTGTTGCATTCGCGTTTAATTCATCCACCAAATTTTGAAAAAAAAGGCTGCGACTGTCACTCTTCGACGCTGATGGAAAAGGAAGTCGATCGAAATTTGAAAATTACCTTAATCAAAGTAGCGTCGTACGAATTTCGAACTCT